CTGTCCTTCGTTTGGCAGCCTGGAGCCAAGAACTATAAAATGCTAATAGATGCTAATAGCACCTGAAGTCCCAGAAAGCCAGTAATGACCAATTATTCAGTTGTCATTGAAAGTCTATACTTCACCTTGGGGTAATTATCTTTTGCATGCAGTGGTGTTGTGGATTTCAGAGGCTACACAGAATCACTTCTGTGTCCATTACTTAGGAGGATTTCTTCTTCTTAGTTTAATACTCACATGTAGACTCTCCTTTTTACCATTTAATCTTAATCCAATGGGGGGAAAAATAAGAAAAGCATACCTTTCATAGTCTTGATGCTAGGTTCAATTGTGTGATAAGCAACATTTCTTCTAATTTTCAGCCCTGCTGGGCAGGGCACTGCCTCTTGTGTGCACAACTCCCCCCTCCCCCACATGCGCAACTCTGCCCCTCCCCCAGGGTTCCATTGTGAATAGAACCAAAGAGGCTGGAACCTATCACTGTGGGTGTGCAGAAGAGGAGGAGCCCTGCACGGAGGGGGCGGAGTCACGTGTGCTTGCGCAGCCATGCACCTTAGAAGGAACCTTGGTCATAAGGGTGTATTCAAGCATCTCAGCATTGTGTTCTCAGCATTGCCTTTGAGACTGGATTTTTGCTGGGATCTAGAGAACTGCTTGATAGCTCAGTGGTTTAGGTCTCTGGAGCGAGAGGTTGGGAGTTTGATTCCCCACTGTGTCTCCTTAACAGGGGCCGAACTCGATAATCCATAGGGTCCGTTCCAGCTCTGCAGTTCTAATGTTACAGTATTATTATTAATAATATTCAGAACTCAAAACTGGTTGCAGAGAGGTCTTGCTGTCTCTGCTTTTGCAACAGGTAAGAATGTAATGCCTGGGATCCTACCCCATCTCATCCCATCCCACCCGTGCACCATTTGGGTATTGGCCATCAGCTGCCATGTGTCACAATCAGAAAAAGCTTTGGGCTGAACAAACCCTTCAGAGAGGCAAACAAAAGCATATGAAGCTCTACAGAGTTTCAGTCCATTATTTTTAATGTTTGGCTCTATTATTTATATATGTAATAAGCCACAAAACCTTTCATCAATCTAGTGGGCTTGGATTGTGTTTGAAAATTAAGCATGGAAATGTTAAATTTAAGTGCAGAGCTTCTAAAGTTACTTCAAAAAAGGAATTAGTCATATTTACAGTACCAAGAGGAAAAGAAGTTAGTTACTGTTATGCATACCATTTTTGTAAGTAACTTCCTACCACTTGTCCAAAGTAAGTAAATATTACACGTTACACTACTGAAAGAATAAAGTTATCCCTAGTGCACTTAATCATAACGTTTTTTAAAAGTGTACTTAAAGCACTCTCTAGCAATTTACAATTTAATTGTGCAGGCTACACATTGCTCAGTTAGCGGGTATTCAATTTACTGACCTCAGAAGGATGAAAAGCTGAGTGAACATGAAGCCAGCTGCGTGGGATTGAACCGACCTCAGAAGGATGGAAAGCTGAGTGAACATGGAGCCAGCTGCGTGGGATTGAACGTGGTTATGAGCAGAGTTGTGGCTGCAGTACTGCAGTTTAACCACTGCACCACAAGGCTTAGTTTGTATTATCTTTGTTGTAAAAAGGAACTGTTATAATTTGGAACCAGTTATTTCCAAGATCTGTTTGAGTGGAATGTGGATTATGCTAAAGTTCCCATTTGTTACGGGACCAAGAGGAGGGAGCCATCCAGTCCTCAGCCTGCATAAAGGTTCAAGCTGCTGCCTTGATAGATGTATCCATGTGAACACTCTCCCTATGCTTTCCATCTTTCAGCGAAACAACAGAGGAAAACAGGCAAGAGGATGGGTCATACTCCACCACAAGGTAACATAGTGTGTTTCCTTAAATCTCATTCATTTCAGTGAACTTCCTACAGCAGATGTTCTTGCTGGATTGAATGTTGAGTCAAATGTTATCGTAATGCCACCATTGCTATCTAACCCCATCAACACAGTCAGTGGGGAATATCCTATAGTCCAAAGCAGGGGAGCAGCCTCACCATGAAGGGTTGGATTGAAACACCCATACCCCAGCTGCTGATATTTTTAAGAGATAAGGTTGCAACCCTGTGCCCTCTTCTATGGGAGCATTTCACAGTTTTAAGCTCAATGGGGTTTAATTTATGAGCAGACATTCTTGCTAATTGTATAAAACTGGAGTCATTTACAAAATAAAGCTGTAACATGGAGAAGTTCAGGAGGAAACAACAGAAAACTGCAAAGGACCTGTTTTATAGAAAGGAGCATATGTTGCAATAACTGTAAACTATGCTATGTTTTTGTGTTTTATGTAGGGAAACCAGAACTTGAGCACTAGTTCCCAGAAGAGCTACTGTAATATGATCTGTAAGGAGTGGAACAGAAATAATAAATGCTTCACTGCACAGTGACATCAGCTGGTGAAAGCTTCAGAGCCTCTTTCTAATGTCATGATGACGGAGAAACAAGGATGGGGATAACAGGAAGAGAGGTGTCTGCAAGGTGAGTACTGGATATCCAGAATTCTTTAAAAAGCACCATATTTCTCTTCTATTAAATCTTCAGGATGTTCAGTATTGGCCTTAGATAAGCAAGCCCCATTTTATCAACCAAGAATGGAACAACATTTCATTAATTAACATTAACTTTTTGCTGATGGAAAAGAAAAGGGTAGAAGTGATAACTTTTCACATAATGTGTCCCTTTTGGAAAAACAAGTTTGGGGAAACTTTCTCAGAGTTGCTCTTCAGAGGCACACACTTCCCTCCTTCCCATTGCAAACGGGAGTAGTTTCACCAGGACTGTAGCCATAACAGGTTTGCAGAAGTAAGAAATACGCATTTAAATGTATGGACTCCAAAGGAGCAATGCATTCATAAAGATTCAAGCAGATCAGGCCAGTGAATACTCAGCATATTTACTGGCTGAAATCCTTTTACTTAGCATAGTAAGAATGTGAAGAGATGGGCATTTAGCATTTAGCCTACTGTTTGGATCGCTGCAGAAACGGATTGGTTTGCTTATTTTGACAACGATCACACAGTGTATTTGCTGAAGTGAACCAAATTGCCTCTGAAGCATTCCTGCTTGCACCTTTCTGGCTCCTGTCAGGGGCTTTTACTTTTTTTGTGTTTTTGGAGGCATGCAAGATCATCCTGGTTTGGTCCATTTCTAGTATGTTTGATTGCTGGAAACACACCAAAAGCAACACACCATCCTCTAATTTGTCAATATTGTGAAGTAGCTTAATAAGACAGCCACTTCAGGCTATTGGCAAATTAATTACTCCCTCAGCTTTTGTTAGCTTTTTTAAAGGTATAGTCTAGAACTAGCCTGCAGCCGAACCTTTAAAAGAAAAGCATACAAGGAGGAAGCTTTATATTTGTCTTTTCAATATTAGTCTTATTTTTTTAAAAGTGGCGCAGCACATATTCACTGCCCTTATACACACTAATACACACTTAAAAAAACTCTGCTTCACTTCCTCGGTCCCTCCATGGAGCCAAGGAAGTGACTAATTTGCCAATAACCTGAAGTGGCTCTTTTATTAAACCACTTCACAATACTGGCAAATTGACAGTAGGCTATTGTGGACCAAATAGGGTTGCTTGAGTTCTGTATGCCATTTGGATGCAAGGATCACACTGAGTGGTGTACCAGGCCTCCTGCTGACCCTGTTTGGCCTGATCCAGCCCACTTGGTCTGAGGCACAATACTGTTTGCCGGTCAGTACAACACCAGCAAATTCCGGTTTGTTTTAAACCAGGAATGGTGGAAGGCAGCCATCACTACAGAGGTGGAGAAGACTGTGTAGACGAGCCCTAAATTGCACCAGAGTAGGTCCATTGATGTGGTGGTGGTGTGGGATGTGGTGGCGCTGCGGGATGTGGTGGCGCTGCGGGATGTGGTGGCGCTGCGGGATGTGGTGCCACTGCAGGTTAAACCGCAGAAGCCTCTGTGCTTCAGGGTCAGAAGACCAGCAGTTGTGAGATCAAATCCACATGACGGAGTGAGCTCCCATCGCTTGTCCCAGCTCCTCGCCAACCTAGCAGTTCCAAAGCATGTAGAGTAGATAAATAGGTACCGCCTCGGTGGGCAGGTAACAGCATTCCATGTCTAGTCGCATTGGCCATGTGACCACGGAAACTGTCTTCGGACAAAAGCTGGCTCTATGGCTTGGAGACAGGGATGATCATTGCGCCCTAGACTCGGACATGACTGAACTAAATGTCAAGGGGAACCTTTACCTTTACCTAGGCCCATTGAATCAGTGGAGATTTGGTGAGTCAACTCCTCCATAGATACCATTGATTGCATGGGCCTACTCTAGTGCAATCAGCTAAGCCAAACAATGAGTTGAGCTACTGTAACATGCTCATCCTTTTCTTAGTTACTCCCCATTCATCTCAATTCCGCTGCTTTTTGTTCAGATAACAGAATTTACAGATTCAACAGCCTGTTATTGTTTGGCCTATTTGTTAGTGACCTCTAGCCAATAAATAATAATAAGCTTCTGTTTAATTCAAGAGATATAGTCTATCTTCTAGAGCACTGGTTCTTAACCTTGGGTTACTCAGGAGTTTTGGACTGCAACTCCCAGAAGCCTTCACCACCAGGTGTGCTGACTGAGGTTTCTGGGAGTTGCAGTTCAAAAGCATCTGAGTAACAAAGGTTAAGAACCACTGTTCTAGAGCAGAGGATCCCAGTCTTGAGTAACCCAGGTGTTCTTGAACTGCAACTCCCAGAAACCCCAGCCAGAACAGCTGATGGTGAAGGCTTCTGGGAATGGGGGCAGTCCAAGAACCCTTGGCCTACCCAGGGTTGGGAACCACCCCTCTAGAGTGACCAGAAATCAGTGGCCAAATATTAGAGCTGAATTTTAAAAAATCAGGGCATTATAGCAAGCATCTTACTTTTACAAAAATTAAGGACTGCCCTTTGTGTTATGTTTTTAAACTCAGACTACAATCAATGCATGCTTACCTGGCAGAAGTCTAATGTATTTGGTGGGGCTGACTACTAAGTAGGTAGGCATAGGATTGCACAGCTATGTATTTCTGCTAACACCTGCATCAAACAGAGAAAACAGTCATATTGAGTCACAAACCTTAACTTGGATGCTAAAGGAAATATGCAAGATAAACAACAACCTATGTAGGACTCTTACTATTACACACTCTTTCCTACAGAGAATTCCAGTTTGCTTCACAGGGAACAGGTTGTGACTTGGACAAAGCCTGTGTTTAAACAATAGAGCTTGGAAAAGTTACTTTTTTTGGACTCTGGTCATAGAAACTTGCAAGAAACATGGCCATCAAAAAGTAACTTTTCCAAACTGTGGAAAACAGTAGCGTATGCGCAGAATTCTTCATTTATATCACCTACACAGAATTTTTATAAACTCCCCATTTTGCTTTGCATTTCAGGTTCACGAGATCAGCTCCCTGCTCTGGTGAAAAGCTCTGTTGATGGCAAAAATCTCAGTTTGCCTAAAGGAATGTTCAACCTCATGCTAATGACAGGAGCCATGCAGAAAAACAGTAACAAGGAAAGTAGCACACTGAGTTTTAATAATTTCCTGTTAACAAAGGCCACCTTTCTCCAGCAGGACCTTGGAAAGAGGAAATGAGGCCACTGGACCTTTAAGGTGCCAAAGAGACTCCTTGCAGTTTTTGAGAAGTACAAGGGCTGATAAGAGACAGCAGGCGCCTGCTGGAGGTCACCTCCATGATACCAATCAGGAGTTGCATGAAAGCTGATGCTATCACAAAGCGGTGAGAAGTCGGAGCACCCGGAGGAGAAAATTTCCGTTGCCTGCATACGGGGAGCGGCATGCTGTGTGGATTTAATTTTCTTGCAAAGATGTTAATACTAAATAAATAAACGTTAGTCGTAGGAGCCTAGTGACTTTAGAAGTGCATGCCTGTTGGGTTCCGATTGAATCAACAGGAAGTAAGAGATGCCTGATCAAACAGGGGATTGGAGAAACATGCACTGAATTTTCAACTGTTCCACAAGGACAGGTTCTGTGCCCTTGACGCAGTGAGATGGTTCAGCATTGATGCCAAATCATGGTTTAGTATGATGTGAATCAGCCTGGGTGGACTCTCAGGCATAATTCTCCCTCTACCCTCTTTCCTTTCTTTTCCTCATTCCTTTCCTGCTGAAGGCTGGACAGTATCATAGCCATTGCAAATGTGGATATTGCAGCTCTTAACAGTTATGTTTATGTTGCATCCAAACCATTCTTCAAAGTTCTTTAGCCACCCGTTTCTTCTCTTGCCCAGAACAAAAGTACTTGGAAGAATTCATATGGCATTTTTTCACTGCTTTCCATATCTCGCTGTGATGGCTGATTGCAACAGCTTATGTAACATCTGCAGTTTTCATACTGAAGCCCAGCTGGCCTCCTTTGCCTCTGGTTGGTACTGACATTGCTGCTGAGGTTTGGAGACAATTCTGTTCCTCCACAAACCTCCTGGATCAAATTCCTCCATGCAAAGCCCTTGGTTTTCCAAGGAGTGGGTTAATTAGCCCCTGCACAGTCCTCAATGGGACTCAGACATGTGGTGGTACTACTCACAAATCTCGTTCCAGACTCATCTGCCATTTCCTCCCCTTGCATATGGTAGTTTCCTCCTGCCTTTCTCGGTGTGAGGCACAACACTGTCTGGAAGTTGGTACAACACCAGCAAATTGTGGTTTGGTTTAAACTGGGAATGGTGGAAGGCAGCAATCACTACAGCGGTGGAGAAGAAAAATGGGTGGGAGAGATCTGAAGGACCTGAGTCGCACAGTGCTCAAAGTAAACTATGATGTGGATGTGAATTCTCTCGGTCCTTGTTTTTGTCTACAAGGAGGGAACCTCAACTTCCCTCCTTGTCGACCAGCATTCTCACTGCTCAATGACATCATGCAAACGTATTAGTATAAATTATGTGGAGAAGTGCTGGTTGGGAATTCCAAACAGTGCTTTGGAAAATACAGTTTTTTTTTAAAGATATATATGAGCAATCCACTGCCATTTAACCTAATATGACATTTTCATCCTTTAGGTGACCTGTCCTTTTTAACAAATGGAAGCAATGCATATACATTTATTCGTATGTACAGTAGATTTATGCTTCATTTTCTGGAAGAAATCCCATACACATTTTAAAAACAGTTGCAAAACTGCTTTGGGGTTCAACAAAGTAGTGTGGGTGATGCCATAGGTGCTAGCCAAGTAGCATTCCATGTACTTCTCTGTTCAAACTGAAATATGTGACTTCCCGCCCCCCAGAACCTGCCTCAAGAGATAGATATTTCATTGTACAGAACTCAGTAAGAGCACGACTCTTAAAATGCTACATCAGTCTCCACTCTAGCAGGAAAACTGCTTTGCTAGAAAGGTTTCAGTAATTCAGAAAGGGCTTCCAGCATAAGCATTCAGATCCCAGGACATCAAGAAGTTAATGGAGCATCTTCCTAGTACAGAAGAAGCAAGATCAGCTTTTTCCTATGGATCATCAATATAACAGCCAATGATGTAAAGCAAGGGCATTGAAGAACAGCATTTTCTAAAGTTAAGAAAATAGGAACCATCCACTACCTGTTGTAACCTGTACTTCTCTCTTTGTATTTATCTATAACATTGACTAACTGAGTAACTCAGAACCAAGCTAGGAAACTGTGTGTACAGAAGAGCTGCTTGGTTTACTCTGAGAAACAGAGCTATTGCTGCCAGTCTAGAAATTTTGGTTTGGAGAAAGCTGTCCCAGAATTAAAACCCAAGCCTATCTGATTTCCACTAGGCTGCTGCTTTTATCCCAAAGGGGATATGGTCCTAAGGGGAGAGAAAGCTGAATCTGTGTGCTGCATCCCGCCCACTTCCCTTTCCATCTATAGTAAGTCCTTTTCCTTCATCCTTTTATACAGCGGTAAAGCTGATGTTGTTTCCATTTGATTTTAGCAGAAGAGAAAAAAATCTCAGCTTCTGACCCGACTTTCTTGACTATACTGTATTATGTTTTCACAGAGAACAGTCTTCCTTTCCATGCCTGCCCATGCATATAACTAAAATGTGTGGCTTACGGTTGCCTGCAGCATTATTCTAACCATTAGAATCTAACAGAAAAAGATGCTTCAGGAGAAAGTGGTTAGAAATAAAGACATAGCAGAAGGTAGGAGATCCTTAAGACTTCCTCTGTGTGATGTTTCTCCACTCAAAATCTTACCTCCCTTATTCTGTTCAGGATTCAAACTACTGTATCTGTCTTTGTGAACCGTCTTGGCAAAGGCACGCCTGCACTGACTAACCAAGCTAAAGGAGGACATAAACTGGCAAAATTGTAAGGGTCAAATCATATATTAAGGAAGATGTGTATTTCCTGCTATTATGTTTTCCTTCTAGGCATACAATAACTTTAATGTACAATCAGACTTGCAAATGAAGCACATGTTTTCCTTATGATGACAAAACCAAACAAGTTCATGCTAGGATAATCAGATGCCTTACTTCACTTCACAAAACTCTTCTTCCAACAATATGCTCCCTGTCCTTTGGGTCAGAGTTACAATCTCAGAGTTTTCAAAGTTCTCAAGTTCAGAGTTCATGTTCTGCCAACATTTCTTCGTGAAAAACCTGCAGACCATTTTGCAAAATATAAAAATCCTCTTTGATTGGTATATAATTGTTTCGCATTTCAAGTTTATTTCAGTCCTAAAAGTGTAGGGGTTGGTGTTTGCTCGTTTGGGGTGGTTTTTTTTTGGGGGGGGGGTGGCAGGTTAGAATTCCGCAGTAGAAACAGAAAAATAGAGGACGACGTATCTCCGCCAAACCTTCCCAAGCTGTAGGGATGTGCACCACCACACAATCCAGTCTTTCAAACTCTGGATGTCATGTTGTTGGGTTTTTTCCCAGTGATTGCTTATAGCAAGGCTTGGAGGAAGTGTGACCCTCCTGATATTGCTGGACTGAACTCCCATTATCCCTTGCTTTTGACTTTGCTGGCTCCAGCTGATTGGTGTTGCAATCCAACGATATCTGAAGGGTTACACATTCCCACCCCCCTTGCCTTATCATTTAGCTCAGCTTTAACAGAACGGAATGGCAATGCAAAAAGTAAACACATCCTAAATTACTTCTAGGGAAGGCTCAAATTATTACTGACAGAGGCTCACAGTGATAAAGTTTCACAAACTCTGGTACAAACTGTAGGTTCTCTAGGGTGTGGTGTCAAGGGCTGATGTTGGTACAAGCTACTGATGCAATCTTAGATGCAGATAACCAATTGTGTTATTTAATAAAGCCAGCTACAAGAGATGGTTGATAAAAGCTTACCTTTTGTTTTCCAGAGGCTCTCACTTCTTCTTTTACTCAGGGCTTAGATTTCTTTTTCTTTAATGACTACCAAGTTCTTTTAATAAGATTTTCTTGTTCCTCCTGGAGCATGTAATTAAGTCCTTACAACACTGGCTCCATACTCTTAATGATGTTTTTTGGTCCGGAAATAATGTCTCTCTCATTAGGAAGGAGCAAAGCCACTACTCTGTCGGGGCCTTTTCCATTTCTGCAGCTCATTACAATCAGGGAGGTGGGGGGAGGAAAGGAGGACACAGAAGGTGCACCCAATTAGGGGTAGTTTGGGAGGAGAAAACAGCAGCTTAAAAGGCAATCACAGGCTTTGAAGAAAGTCTGCAGATAGCAAATAGAAATCTAAGCAGAGAAAGCTGGACAGTGAAAACTTGTCTGTAGGCTGTCTGGAATGCCCTCTGGACAAGTAGCCTGGGGCACCCCTTTCTACACGATGCTTCCCAAGCTGGATGCATATGGTAGTTCTTCCCATTTCTATCTGCTGCACTGATATCACTTAAAAGACTGTGTCAATAAGGCTGACTGGCGGTAGCTTAAACATACTAGGCTCCTAACACCATGTGTATATGAAATAAAACTGTACAAGATCAATGTTGGTAATGTATACAAAAATTAGTTAATATTGACCATATACAGTATAATGAGGGTGCTCCAGTATAAAAGATATATTTTGATCTTGTTACTTTATTTTGGATATTTAAGTAGAATGTTGTTAAAAAGAGCAAGAATAAAAATACAGATAGCCAATAAATGGCTTAAATACATAATCCCGTCTATACAGATAACACAGAACCCAGGGAATTGTCAAAATGACAAAGCTAACAGAATACCTATGTATAAGAGAGGGCACTCAGTATTCTCAGAGTTTAACGAAACTTGACTTTACTCTTTAAAGTTAATGAAGAGAGTTAATTCATGCATTTTGTTCGTAGAAATATTGAACATGGGAATCTAATATGTTAGTGTATATAAGAGTTTCTGCATTTTCTGACTGAATCATTATTCATAACTGTGTATTTACAAGGTGACGGGAAGGTCATTTCTTTCTTTTTGTATTCATGCATTTGAAATAACAATTACAAACAAAAGCAAATAAAGGTGTAGAACACCAACTATGGCTCCAGAATATTTGCTTGAAAAAAAGCTTTGTACTGTACCTGAGCTTGAATTACACTCATTCAGTCTGTATCAGTCATTGTGATTAATGGAAAAGCCAAAGATACCAAGGTGGGAATGCCAGTCTTATCAGTTAATGAGTGTCTCCATCACCCTGCAAATATTCCTAGCATGCCAGGCAGCCCCAACCAAACAGGTATGATCATCAGACAGTGCACCCTAAGTGCCAAAGCCTTTTGCCATTTTGCAGGTTTGTAAACTGGGAAGAAACAAACTAAGATGGCCTCTTAACATCATGAGGAACCTGATGAACAATTGTTACTGCAAACTAAAGTTGGCCCGCTAAATGAATGTGACTTGTTGAGTCAACCACCCTTGTGTAACCCCCCTTGATTCAATAAGCATATTCTAGTTGAGGCTCACAATTTGGGCTCAGTGTTACCAGTCATGAAATCATGGCCTAATTCTGATTGATCGTCTTAGTGAGAGTTGACCCATTGAATAAAATATGGAGTTGTAGATCAACAATTGTGTTAATCTAAGTTAAACAGTGGGTGTTATCTCATTAAGACCAACTATAAAATTTAGTATGGTCACAATGCCATAAAAGGTAAAGAAAATACTTTCTTATACAGCACATAAACAACTTATGAAATTCACAGCCACTTAATATATTAGAGACCCTGTGTGGTGTATGGATAAAATAACTGGCTAGGACTGGGTTCAAGTCCCTGCTCAGCTATGGAAATTCATAGGGTGGTGGGTAGCACCAGTAAAGTTATGCCTTAAATACCTCACATAACTTGTGAACTCTGTCACGATCATATAAGGCTGTTCCAACTTGAGGACACATAACATAAACTAATGTAACAAATCTGCTTCCAAGGATCCAGCTTGTCCCTGGCAGCAGACACCCAGAACAGTAGGTAGAGCCTAGGAGAACCCACAAGCCAGGTCAGACTCCGCTGCTGTGCCTCTGCCTGACACAAAAGTCTGGGTCCGGTTGCTTTCTGTATGTGCCCTGTTACACAGACATAACTCTAGTAAGGGAACGTGATACTGTACTATGTTTGTGTAGCAGGGAACATTGTGTGCATTCATCAAATGTCGGAAACTATTGGCCTCAACCAAACAATGCCTATGATGTGAGTGATGGTCTGTGGCTTGGCCTGCTTTCTGTACCCGAAAAATAAGCTACTTCCTGCTTTTTAGTCACAGCACACTTCCAGTCTGGACTAGGTTGATTTCTGGGATTTCAGGTGTGGATCGTTTGGTAGAAGAGAACTTCTAAGTCATACAATAGCTGAATGTTGTGGATGGAAAGAGCATTTTATGTGAGGTAAAGATGACTTGTAGACCAAGAAAAAGGGGTTAGCATCCCCACCATTTCAGGGTGAGCTCCCCCTTCCATCTGTGAACTGTCAAAGATGTGAGTGCCATGTTTTTTAGTCCAGACAGTAACTCCCAGTCACTCTTCTCTCTTGCCAGGTTCTGCCTTGGAACCCAGATCACATGACATAAGTGTTAATGTCAAGAATGGCAGCCTTATACTCAGTAATAGTAAGTTAGAAGCAAAGTATATCCCCAAACTTGGGGAGAAAAGGCAACATTCTGCTAATTCACTTTCATGGAAAGCAATCCTCTGGGAAATCTGCCCGGTATTATTTTGACCACTTGCAGCCAGAGACTGAGCTAATAGTGGGTGGATTTGGTTTAAAGAAATATGTGTGAGCAAACATTTCTGGCCCACCCTGAGTTGTTACTGTCTGGACTAAGATTTGTGTACTTCCCCCTAGATGGGTGGGAATGGGAAATGGCGCAATTGTGTTATCTCCCCATACCTCCATCAGTTGGAGGTGAGTTACATGATCTAGAAAATATGATGCTCAACAGAGAATGAACAGAACAGTTTTCCTTTCTGTACTAAAGGAATGCATGGGGGTGGTGAGCCACATCCTTTAGTCTTTGGGGGGAAAGTTTGTAATTTGTGAAAATCTTTAATTAACCGTGAAGACTGGGTGTGGATGGATAGAAATGGATGTTTTAAGCATATGTCTTACTTAATAAAGAGATTAGGCTTGAAAATATTCCCAGAGAAACAAGATTATCCCTGTTTATTTCTAGCATGAAAAATATAGCTGCATTTTCATGCTATGTTGCATTATCAAAGGAACATTCAATATGTTTTGAAGGCTTTCATGGCCAGGATACAATGGTTGTTGTGGGTTTTTCGGGCTGTTTGGCCGTGTTCTGGAGGTTTTTCTTCCTAACGTTTCGCCAGTCTCTGTGGCTGGCATCTTCAGAGGACAGGAGCTAGAACTCTGTATTCTGGTGTAGTGTGTGGGATGTTGCGTATTTGTAGCTGTGGGATCAGGTTTTTGTTCTTTACAGGAAATTGGGTGCAATCGTTGGGTTAGAGTACACAGAGAAGCCATTGAAATCTACAAACACCAGCACAGCTTCAACAAAAAAGAAGAAAGTCTAAAAATCAACAAAGCCTGAAAAATACAACCAGCACTGAAAAATACAGCCTGCAAAAAGGTCAATGAACTCTACCCAACAAGGACTGGCGATCATTGCACACAAAAGACTAGCTAAAGACACCCATCAATCACAGTGACAGATAATCTCCACCCTTATCACAACAAAACACCCATAACAAAAAAACACACCCTGAGGAATGACCCAATCTCCTGAAAAGAACAAAACCTGATCCCACAGCTACAAATAACAATCCCACACTACATCAGAACACAGACAGAGTTCTAACTCCTGTCCTCTGAAGATGCTGGCCACAGAGATTGGCAAAATGTTAGGAAGAAAACCCTCCAGAACATGGCCAAACAGCCCAAAAAACCCACAAAAACTAAAGGTTTAATAGTTTTATCAAATATACTATCCATGTAGTTCTGCGTTGTTGTTTAGTCATTAAGTCATGTTGGTAGCTTCAGTGACACTGTCCAACCATCTCGTCTTCTATCATCCCCTTCACCTCTTCACAATTTCCCAACATCAGGGTCTTTTCCAGGGAGTCTTCTCTTCTCATGAGATGGCCAAAATATTGGAGCTTCGGCTTCAGGATCTGTCCTTCCAGTGAGCACTCAGGGTTGATTTCCATCGGAATGGATAGGTTTTTCTCCTTGCAGTCCAGGGGACTCTCAAGAGTCTCCTCCAGCACCACAATTCAAAAGCATCAATTCTTCGGTAGTCAGCTTTCTTTATGGTCCACCTCTCACTTCCATACATCACTACAGGGAAAACCATAGCTTTGACTATGCGGATCTTTGTCTGCAAGGTGATGTCTCTGCTTTTTAAGATGCTATCTAGGTTTGCCATCGCTTTCCTTCTGAGAAGTAGGCGCCTTTTAATTTCGTGGCTACTGTCAGCATCTGCAATGATCATGGAGCCCAAGAAAGTAAAATCTGTCACTGCCTCCATATCTTCCCCTTCTGTTTGCCAGGAGGTGATGGGACCAGTGGCCATGATCTTAGTTTTTTTGAGGTAGAGCTTCAGATCATTTTTGTTGCTCTCCTCTTTCACCCTCATTAAGAGGTTCTTTAATTCCTCCTCACTTTTTGCCATCAGAGTGGTATCATCTGCATATCAGAGATTGTTGATATTTCTTCCGGCAATCTTAATTCCGGCATGGGATTCAACCAGTCCTGCCTTTTGCATGATGTATTCTGCATAAAAGTTAAATAAGCAGGGAATCAATATACAGCCTTGTCGTACTCCTTTCCCAATTTTGAACCAATCAGTTGTTCCATATCCAGTTCTAACTGTTGCTTCCAGTCCTATATACAGTGGACCCTCTACTTACGGAATTAATCCGTATTGGAACAGTGGCTGCAAGTCGAAAAGTCTGTAGGTCGAATCTCCATTGACCTACAATGCATTGAAAACAGATTAATCCTGTAACCGGCCATTTTTGTTCCATTTTTGTCCCATTTTGGTTTTTTTCTGGTCTGTAGGTCGATTCTCCGGCTGCAAGTCGAACCTAAATTTTGCAGCCAGAGAAGTCTGTAACTCGAAAAGTCTGTAAATCGAGCCGTCTGTTAGTCGAGGGTCCACTGTATAGATTTCTCAGGAGATAGATAAGGTGGTGAGGCACTCCCATTTCTTTAAAA